AGTGTCAAATCTGAATTCAAATCCTGCACTGCCTCCTATCAGCTCTGTGACTTTAGGCATTTAACTTCTCTGCAGCTTATTCAGTAAGAATGCTGTGAAGATGAGATTATTTCCTTCAGACAGTGTTTGGCATCGTGCCTCACCCACTGGGAGGGCTCAATGTGTGTCCACAATGGCTTTTCTTTTCTTTTCTTTTCTTTTTTTTTTTTGAGACTATGTGCACTCTCACACCCAGGCTATAGTGCAATCATAGCTCACTGCAGCCTCAAACTCCCAGCCTCAAGGATCCTCTTGCCTCAACCTCAGGAGTAGCTGCGACTACAGGACACCACACCTGGCTAATTTTTGTAATTTTTTTGTAGAGACAGGGCCTCGCCATGTTGCACAGGCTGGTCTTGAATTCCTGAGCTCAAGTGATCCACCCACCTTGGCGTCCCAAAGTGTTGGGATTACAGACATGAGCCGCTCCTGGCCCTTTAGGCATTTCTTAACCTCTCTGCAGTTTATTTAGTGTGAGTGCTGTGAAGATGAGGCGACTCCCTGCCTAGAGTGTTCGGCATCATGCCTCACACACTGGGATGGCTCAGTGTATGTTCACAATTGCTTTTTTTTTTCTTTTTCTTTTTCTTTTTCTTTTTTCTTTGAGACGGAGTTTCACTCTGTCACCCAGGCTGGAGTACAGTGGTATGATCTCGGCTCACTGCAACCTCCGCCTCCCAGGTTTAAGTGATTCTCCTGCCTCAGCCTCCCAAGTAGCTGGGATTACAGGCACATGCCACCACACCCAGCTAATTTTTGTATTTTTAGTAGGGACGGGGTTTCGCCATGTTGGTCAGGCTGGTCTCGAACTCCTGAGCTCAAGTGATCCACCTGCCTCAGCCTCCCAAAGTGCTGGGATTACAGGCCTGAGCCACAGTGCCCAGCCCACGATCGCTTTTCTGGGGGAAACTTCCATTGCAGCACCTTAAGGGGGCTCCACCCTGCCCCTCATTGAACCTTCTCTTCTGTCCCTCTCTCTTATAAAAATGACCTTTCGGTGTGTCGTTTTCTCAGTGACATGCTAACCTGTGATGTTGCAGAGTCTGATGATGCAACTTTGACCGGCTTTATAATCGTGGATTTCAGGCAAGCTGGGAGGCCTTCCAAAAGCCCTTGAGAACCACAACTTTTTGTTTTCACTCTTGTCGCCCAGGCTGGAGTGCAGCAGTGCAATCTCAGCTCACTGCAACCTTCACCTCCTGGGCTCAAGCAAATCTCCTGCCTCAGCCTCCTGAGTAGCTGGGACCACAGGCATGTGCCACCACACCCAGCTAATTTTTTGTATTTTTTAGGAAAGATGAGGTTTTGCCATGTTGGCCAGGCTGATCTCAAACTCCTGACCTCATGTGATCCAGCCGCCTGGGAATCCCAAAATGCTGGGATTACAGGCGTAAGCCACTGTGCCCCACCTGAGAACCACAACTCTTTGGTGCCATCTGCAATCCTCCATATCAGTCCTGCAGATAACAGACAGGGAACTATGGCTGCTGCCTCACTGGAGTCAGGACATCCTTTTAAAAAGAAATGGGAGCGCCGGGCGCTATGGCTCACGCCTGTAATCCCAGCACTTTGGGAGGCCAAGGAGGGCAGAAAACCTGAGGTTGGGAGTTCGAGACCAGCCTGACCAACATGGAGAAACCCCGTCTCTACTAAAAACACAAAATTAGCTGGGCGTGGTGGTGCATGCCTGTAATCCCAGCTACTTGGGAGGCTGAGGCAGGAGAATTGCTTGAACCCGGGGGCGGAAGTTGCGGTGAGCCGAGATCGCGCCAATGCACTCCAGCCTGGGCAAGAGCGAAACTCCATCTCAAAAAAAAAAAAAATCTGGGAGCACAGGGAGCTCTCCCGGTGTTGGGAGACCAACAAGGTGGTATCAGGAGCCAGAGACCAGGGACCAAGTCCCAGCTTTAACTGAGTATTATGGGGGTATTAACGCCCACCGCCCAGGATAGGGAGCACAAAGCAGGGAATTCGAAGTATTCAAGCCCTGAAACGCCCGCTTCCTCTGCCTGAGTCGCGGCTGCCCTCTAGTGGCCACGGGATAAATTGCACAGCACGCTGGCCGAAGAAGGGAAAGGGGGAGATGCTTTTCCCCACTTCTGAATCTACCTGATGCTGGAGTTCTCAACCATGCCCACCCATAACTTCCTTTTCATAAAATATATTTTGTATAATTACTGTAATTTTTAAACATTTTAGACAGATTTATTGAGGTATTGACATATAATAAACTGTGCATATATAGATGTAATGTCTGACCCTTGGTATGCACCTGAAATCATTATCACAATCAATATAGTGAAGATATCCATCCCCCAAAAAGTTTCCTTGTTGCCCTTGGCGATCCTGCTTCCTGCTCTTTCTACTTCCCCACCCCGAAGCAACTACTGATCTGCTTCCTTTTTTTCTTTTTCTTTTTTCTTTTTTTTTTTTTTAGATGGAGTCTTGCTCTGTCTCCCAGGCTGGAGTGCAGTGGTGTGATCTTGGCTTACTGCAACCTCCACCTTCTGGATTCAAGTGATTTTTGTGCCTCAGCCTCCCGAGTAGCTGGGATTACAACTGTGTGCGAACAGGCCTGGCTAATTTTTCTATTTTTAGCAGAAACAGGGTTTCACTCTGTTGACAAGGCTGGTCTCAAACTCCTGACCTCAAGTGATTCGCCCACCTCAGCCTCCTAAAGTACTAGCATTACAGGTGTGAGCCACCGCACCCTGCCCTGATCTGCTTTCAATCATCATAGATTAGTCTATATTTTCTAGTGCTGTCTAGAAATGGAATCATACAGTGTGTACTGTTTTTTGTCAAACTTCTTTCACTCGGTATAATTATTCTGAGATTTATCCATGTTGTTTTGTGTGGCAATAGTTCATTACTTTTTAAAATTGTAATTGTAGTTTTTGTGGGTACATAGTAAGTGTATATATTTATGGAGCACCTGAGATGTTTTGATACAGGCCTGCAATCCATAATAATCACATCATGGAGAAGGGGGTATCCATCCCCTCAAGCATTTATACCTTGTGTTAAATATTTCATGGCAAAGTTATCTTGGGGTAAGCACTGCAGCAAGCCACCAGTGAGTATTCTCTGGGCAAACAGAAAAAGGGTTAAATAAATCACATTACACATTACTCTAATATTTGTATCTATGTCTAGCCCTCAGACAAACTGTGATGCCTATTCTTTACATCGGCAACAAGGTGGTCACTGAATGCTAGAATTATGAATTTAAATTTAACAAAAATTAATCAAGTTTTCAAAAATCAAAATAAAATAGATTTATTTCAATCATTTTGATGTACAAATTTGACTAATTCTAATTTGTGTGTTGCCTTTTGGTTTAATAGATACTTTTCAATATTTGAAAAGAAAACTAACTTTTGGGAAAACATTTCTGATAAAATTAAATTTTTTTACATAAACATAATTTTGATGAAAATATTAAGATATTTGTACTTTAAATGATTGTTTTAATCCTTACATGTATTTTCAAATCTTGATAATAATATAATTACTGATTTTGCTGAAAGAAAGATAAGAAAAATAAATTTCACGGAATAGTTTCAGTAATTTATAAATTACACATATTTTATTACTCATCCCAATATTGTCAGCCCATCAACAGAGCACCCAGACGTGTGCAATAAACATGAAATTTCATGATCTTTGACATTTTGCTAATTTTCTGTCATATACAAATCACAGCTTCATACATATTTTTAAATTTTATCCTTTTAAAGGCATATTTGTCAGAGGATAAGGATAGGACATACTTTAACATACATAACATAACATAATCGGCTGGGCGTGGTGGCTCACGCCTGTAATCCTAGCACTTTGGGAGGCCAAGGCAGGCAGATTGCCTGAGCTCGGGAGTTTGAGACCAGCCTGGGCGACAAGGTGAAACCCCGTCTATACTAAAATACAAAAAAAATTAGCCAGGCATGGCGGCATGCACCTGTAGTCCCACCTACTTGGGAGGCTGAGGCAGAATTGCTTGAACCCAGGTGGCAAAGGTTGCAGTGAGCCGAGATCACTCCAGAGTGAGACTCCGTCTCTTTAAAAAAAAAAAAAATTCAAATCATAACTTCATACACATTTTAAAATTTTGTCCTTTTAAAGGAATATTTGTCAGAGGATGAGGATAGGAAATACTTTAACAGTCTGTTAGTTTAATTTATAACTTGCAAATATTGAGAGAGATGGCCTATGGTGTCCATCTGTCCTCTTGCCCTGAGCTGACTTGACTCATGGGCCCCAGCCTGGGTTTTCCAGTTGTTTGAACGGGTGGGAATCTACTCAGGGTTCATGTTTGCCACAGCTAGGGGGCTGGAGGTGGAGGGTCCCTCTGGACCCCCTTTGAATGCCACAAAGACCATCCTCTCTCAGATCTTAACTTTCAGAGACCAAATTTCCAAGTATGTGGTCCTGGGCTATGGAAACCTTTCCTCCTGCCCAGGACTCTCACTCTACAGAGACGAATTCATTCAGGTCATCTGAGGCCCATGTAGATTTTTCGCCACAAATGGTTTCTCATACAGTGGTGCCCCCAGCATGTTCAGCCTCCCCTCTGCCCCCGCAGGCCTCCTACCCCAGGGTGCCATGCACTGCTGCCCTGCTGGGAAGAGAAGTCTGGAGGGGCACGGGCCAACACTGCCCACTTAGAAGCCCCTTGTCTTTTTATTTTTTATTTTATTTATTTATTTTTTTTTTTTGAGACGGAGTCTTGCTCTGTTGCCCAGGCTGGAGTGCAGTGGCGCGATCTCTGCTCACTGCAAGCTCCGCCTCCTGGGTTCACGCCATTCTCCCACCTCAGCCTCCCGCATAGCTGGGACTACAGGCAACCACCACCACGCCCAACTAATATTTTTTTTTTTTTTTTTTTTTTTTTTTAGTAGAGACGGGGTTTCACCGTGTTAGTCAGGATGGTCTCGATCTCCTGACCTCGTGATCTGCCCGCCTTGGCCTCCCAAAGTGCTGGGATTACAGGCGTGAGCCACCGCGCCCGGCCGCCACTTGTCCTTTTTTTCTGTCAGATCCTGCCTCCCTGTTTCAGAGGGAAGAGTGCACTGTCAGTAACAAAATGTTTTCTCCCTTGCATCTCTTTTGCTACAGTTGGTAGAAATTTCTCCTGGACTTCGTCAGTGACTAATGGTGTTGGGATGTTGTGGCCTTCACAGGGAAGGGACAGGGTGTCAGGTCGCCATTTCACAGATGGTTGACCCGATGCCGACTGTGACTGGCTCTTTTGGCTGCAAGTGACAGAAACCCAACTCAAACTTGTTCTGCAAGTAGAGACATTTACTGAGTCTCAGAATTGGAGGAAGGGGAAGGGTGTGTTTGGGTCCCAGAAAGGGTGTACCCTGGGGCTGGAATCCTGTCCAGATTCCACTCCCTCTTTATGGAGGCTTAGCGCCTTAGATGGGCTGTGTCCTCTGGCCCTGCACACACGGGCTTTCTATTGGAAGCTGAGCAGGTCCACCGCTTCCGTTTACAAATACAGTGACTGGCACACAAGCATTCCTATGCTTATTGGGGAATGTTGGGGGGCAGGGCCCTAGGACTGGCAGCCCTCACTAAAACCCCATGAGGGAAGGAGCTCTCCCAAAGGTGGTGCTGTTCCCAAAAAGGAAGGAAACAGCCAGTGCTCTCCACCCTGTCCCACCTGGCCATTTTCCTCACAGATGTCACCTGTCCTCCCAGGCCCAGCTGCTAATTCTGCCTGACGCTTGGCCAATTTGCCTGGTTAAAACCAGTGTATTTCCAGGAGATGGATGACGTCACAGAACTGGAGTTCCAGAAGGCTGGGATGGCCCAGCACTCCCTCCTTCTTTAGAACATGGAGAGCTGTTAGTTGGGCAGGGCTGAAGCATACGTGGTGAGGAAGAAGAGGCTCCTACTGTAGACGGCCTTTTTCTACAAGTCCTCCCAGAAATCCCCGGGCCAGCTGGAACCTGGAGTCAGAGAGGGATGGGAGAGAGGTAAGCTGTGGAAGGGGTGGGAACATACCTTCTGGAACCACTGTCTTCCTTGAGGGGACCCTGAGAGGGGCTGAATGGGCAGGGATGGAGCTTCCTGCTTCCCGAGGCTCAGTGACGTCTATCTCTGAGGGACCCTCCTGAGTCAGTGTGGAGTAGGCTGTTGTTTGCCTGGAATTCTAATTTAACAGGGCATCTTGTAAATTTTATTCGCTGGCTGGGCGCGGTGGCTCAAGCCTGTAATCCCAGCACTTTGGGAGGCCGAGACGGGCGGATCACGAGGTCAAGAGATCGAGACCATCCTGGCTAACACAGTGAAACGCCGTCTCTACTAAAAAATACAAAAAAAAAAACAAAAAAAACAAAACTAGTCGGGCGAGGTGGCGGGCGCCTGTAGTCCCAGCTACTCGGGAGGCTGAAGCAGGAGAATGGCGTGAACCCAGGAGGCTGAGCTTGCAGTGAGCTGAGATCCGGCCACTGCACTCCAGCCTGGGCGACAGAGAAAGACTTCGTCTCAAAAAAAAAAAAATTATTCACTAAATCTGTCAGCTCTGGGGGTAGGAAGGTGGGAGAAGCAAAAAAATGGCCCCAAGCTCAGGCTGGTGTGGAATGAGTCTTAGAACAAGAGACAGAAGCAGCCTTGTTGTCTGGGGTAAATACCACGGTTCATGGTCTCACGTTTAAGGACACAGACACACACGCACACAGAGTGAGTTTGGAGCAGGAGTTTAATAGGCAAAAGGAAAGAACAGCTGTCCTAGACAGAGGTCCCGAGCAGGTTGCCAGGTGGTAGTGGAAATGTCAGGGTTTTCTAAATGGGCTAGTGAGGAGGCGTTTGTGAGGAGGGGATGTCTTATCCTCCTATGGCCCGATGGTTCAGTTGGGACCAGGTGTGCTACCTGTATAGAGCAGAGTTTTTAATAGGCTCTCACCCCATTCCCGAGCACATAGGCCAACTTTTAGTCTGTGCCTCTTTGTCTTGCTTATCTGGGAGGAAGAGTTTCTGTGTCTGTTCCCATACATCCTGCAGCTGTAGGCATACCCCTCGATTCTGCTTTTAGCTTCCCTATCTTAGCGCACCTACAGAGAAAGGAATGTGGTTGGTAAGGCCCGCTATTTTACTGGTGCCCATTGTATAAGTGTGAAGTTTGGTGATTACCCAGGAGACTTCCCAGATCCTTCTGTGCCTGAGCTGTCTTACCTGTTTTACTGTTTGCTCTTTCAGGCTGCTTGTTGTGAGAAGAAAAGTTATTTCCTTGAGCTGCGTGAGGTTAGAAAGGGAGCTATCTTTGAGCTGCTTTTTGTTAAAAGGAAAGTTTTCTGCTGGGGATTCACTTTACCCTGTCTACCTAAGTAATTTCTTTTTTTTTTTTTTTTTTTGAGACTGAGTCTCACTCTGTCGCCCGGGCTGGAGCGCAATGGCCGGATCTCAGCTCACTGCAAGCTCCGCCTCCCGGGTTCACGCCATTCTCCTGCCACCTCGCCCGGCTAGTTTTTTGTATTTTTTAGTAGAGACGGGGTTTCACCGGGTTAGCCAGGATGGTCTTGATCTCCTGACCTCGTGATCCACTCGTCTCGGCCTCCCAAAGTGCTGGGATTACAGGCTTGAGCCACCGCGCCGGCCAGTAATTTCTTTCTGCCTCCTATAACAAGACCGGAGAAGAAACAAGCCCACCAGGATAGCCATCTTGTCCAAGCAGAAGCCGCCTGACACTGGAAGGCGGGGGATGGAAGAACTCAGGCTTCTGCCCCCTCACCAACATATACCTAGTTTAAGGGGAAAAACACACCAGACCAGTGACAGAAATAGTCGCAGGTTTTCAGATTTATTGGAAGTATTGCTTCTTTGTAGTGTAGAGATGAGGTCTTGCTGTTTCCCAGGTTGGTCTCAAACTCCTGGCCTAAGCAATCCTCTCACCTCAGCCCCCCAAAGTGCTTGGATTACAGGCTTGAGCCACCATGCCTGGCCAGTCTTTCAGTTTCCATGGCATTGGCCATTTTGAAGAATACAGGCCAGTTATCTTACAGATTTTCAGTGAGTTTGGCTTCGATGTTTCCTCAGGATTAGATACAGGCTATGCATCCCTGGATGGAATACTGCATAAGTGATGTGTCCTCCTTGGGAATCACACCTGGAGGCACACAATGTCCCTCTGTCCCTCATTGGAGATGTTCATTTTGATTGCAAGTTCAAAATACTGTCTGGTTATCCTCCACTGTATCTGTTTTGTTTTTTCTTTCTGTGCAACTAATAAGCAATCTGTGGGGAGACCCTATAAGATCATGGATAATATATCCAGTTATTCAGCAGTCTTCCCACAACCTCAGATTTAGCATGCAATGATGATTCTTTCTCAAACCAATCTATGATGGTTGCAAAATGGTGATTATTTTTCAACTCCATGACTTCCTCCACATTTATCGGTTGGCCTTTTATTGTCAGGAAGAGGGTCTCTGCTTCAGCTCCACACTATGTATCTTTTTGTCAATTTATTATTATTATGGGCTCATGGATACATTAATTATATTAATGTATAATCTGTTACTGTCATTTATTTTGATGGTCTAATTGTCCCAGATTACCTTGGAAACCATTATGCAATGATTTCTTAGATATGACACCAAAAGCACATGCAACAAAAGGAAAAATAGATACATTGCACATCTTCAAAATTAAGAACTTTAGGGCTTCAAAGAATACCACCAAGAAAGTGAAAGGCAACCCACAGAATGGGAAAAAATATCTGCCATATATCTGATGCTGATCTAGTATCCAGAATATATAAAGAACTCTTCCCACTCAGTAATAAAAAGACAACTCAATTTGAAACTGGGCAAAGGTTCTGAACAGACATTTTCCCAAAGATATACAATGGCCGATAAGCACATAAAAAGATGTTCGGCCGGGCGCGGTGGCTCACGCCTGTAATCCCAGCACTTTGGGAGGCCGAGACGGGCAGATCACGAGGTCAGGAGATCAAGACCACCCTGGCTAACACGGTGAAACCCCGTCTATACTGAAAATACAAAAAAATTAGCCGGGCATGGTGGCGGGAGCCTGTAGTCCCAGCTACTCGGGAGGCTGAGGCAGGAGAATGGTGTGAACCCGGGAGGCGGAGCTTGCAGTGAGCAGAGATCGTGCCACCACACTCCAGCCTGGGCGACTGAGCAAGACTCCATCTCAAAAAAAAAAAAAAAAAAAGAGATGATCAACATCCGTAGCCATCTGGGAAACGGAAATTAAAACAACAGGGTGATACCAGTTCATATCCATGAGGAAACCTTTTGTAGACAGATAATAGGTGTTGGTGAGGATGTAGAGAAATTGGAATCTTTATACACTGCTGATGGGAATGCAAAATGGTGCAGCCACTTTGGAAATCTGGTAGGTCTGATAAGCTTAAGCCTAGGGTTACCCCATGACCCAGCAACTCTACTCCAAAGAAATAAAAATGTATACCCACACAAAAACTAGTATGTGAATGTTCATAGCAGCATTATTCATGATAGCCAAAACCAGAAACAACCCAAATGTTCATCAACTAATGAATGGATAGACAAAGTATGGTCTATTCATACAATGGAATATTATTCAACCATAGAAAGGAATGAAGTATCATTATGTGCTCCAACCTGAATGAACCTTGAAAACATTATGCTAAGTGAAAGAAGCCAGATACAAAATGCCATATTTTATGTAACTCCATGTGTATGAAATGTCCAGAAGAGGCAAATCCATAGAGACAGAGAGTAGATTAGTGGTTGCCAGAGGTTGGGAGGAGGGGGATGGGCAGTGACTGCTAAATGGGTACAGGGTTTTGTTTTGGATTGATGAAAATATTCTAAAATCAAGTGAGATAGTAGTTGTACAACTCTGCAAATATACTGAAAACCACTGAATTGTACACTTTAACTGAATTAATTGTTTGATACGTGAATTATATCTCAATAATGCCGTTACCAAAACATATAGTTCCAGATCTGGCCAATCGGTGCCCCTTTGAGCTAGCTCTTGTGTCAATCTGACATGCCCCAATCCATATTTTTAGCACTTTTTAAATTTCTGGTACAGCAAGATAATCCAGATATCTCATAACCCTTTCCTGCTCCAGCCTGGGAATCAGCCATATTTCCTGGAGTCCCAGTTCCCTTTTGTGTGGAATGTGAACCAAGATCTGGGCATTATTTCATTTAATCATCAAAACAACCCTTTTAGGTAGGTATTAGCATATCTTCATTTTACAAATGAGGCCCAGAAAGGTTGAGTATGTTGCGAAAAATCACATAACAGCCCAAGATTTGAAAGCAGGCAGTGTGAATCTAGGGCCCTTGCTGTTCTACACACACACACACAATGTGAAAGTGAAGGTTATGTCTACAGCCAGCCCACCAAGAATTGTACCAGGAAGGGTATGGCCCCTGGGAAAAATCATGTGTCATGTGTCTTAGGGAGTGGGGTTGTGGGGAGATGAGCACCCAGTATCCTGGCCCTCCTTCTAAAAGCACATCCTCAGATACACACACACATATGCGGTGAAGATAGTCTTCAGTAATCTCCTTTGCCAACCTCACTCACCATCCCAATACCCAAATACTACCCATAGCTGGGTGCCCATATAAGAGGACCTATTGATGAAATGAGATTGGCCAGGTGTGGTGGCTCACACCTATAATCCCAGCACTTTGGGAGGCTGAGATGGGAGGATCACTTGAGGCCAGGAGTTCAAGACCAGCCTGGTCAACATAGTGAGACCCCCATCTCTAAAAAATAAAAAACTGAAAAACAAACAACAACAAAGAAAGATCGGCCTTGGTTTTTTAATGTTGAAGCTCAGAAGTTGGTATATGGAGGTTCATGATACTATTCTCTCTCCTTTTGTAACTGTTTAATTTTCCATGATTAAAAAAATCTATAAAATAGTAAATGAGAGAAAAGAGATAGGAAACAGGTTGGAGCAGTGAGTGAGTAAGGAAATCTGGCTGCCCTCTCCAGATTCCCCAGGCTCTCAGAGAAGATCAGCAGAAAGTCTGCAAGACCCTAAGAATCGTCAGCCCTCAGCTGCACCTCCTCCCCTCCAAGGATGACAAAGGTGCTATTCATCTACTTGGTCAGCAGCTTTCTTGCCCTAAATCAGGCCAGCCTCATCAGTCGCTGTGACTTGGCCCAGGTGCTGCAGCTGGAGGACTTGGATGGGTTTGAGGGTTACTCCCTGAGTGACTGTGAGTGCCATCGGCCCCTCCCCTGTCATTTCTCCTTCTCTCCCCGTCATGTCCTACATGGCCAGCTTCTTTCTCTCCTGTTCATCTTTCAAAGCCAAGTTCAAAAAGCAGCCCCCTTCAAAAAGCTTTTTCCAACACGCCGTATTCATCCACGTTATTATCCAAGCACTTATTACGTACGAAGAACTGTTTTAGATGCTGGGGATGTAGAGATAAACAAATTCCCTTCCCTTGTAGTGTTCACATCCTAGGGGAAGAGAGCAGCAACAAACTCATAAAGTACTGCCTGGTAGTGATCAATGCTATGAAGAAGAATAAAGCAGGGGGAGCGATGGTGACACTGTTTAGATGGGGAAGTCAGGGAAGGCCTCTCTGAGAAGGTGACATTGAGCAGCACCGAATTAAGTGAAGGACCTGGTCACCCAAATGTCTGGGGGAAGAACACTCCAAGCAGAGGGGACAGCTAGTACAAACGCTTTATCCTCCTGCATGGAAGGGATATCTCCCTTTTGCCTAGGATTTGTGTGCACCTGTCTTGCAACACTTGTCCTTTTATCTTGCTTCGTGGGTTTTTTAGGTACTTTTTTTCTTTTTGAGACGGAGTCTCACTCTGTCACCTAGGCTGGAGTGCAGTGGCACAATCTCAGCTCACTGCAAGCTCCGCCTCCTGGGTTCACGCTGTTCTCCTGGCTTATCCTCCCTAGTAGCTGGGACTACAGGCGCCCACCACCATACCCAGCTAATTTTTTGTATTTTTAGTAGAGACGGGGTGTCACCATGTTAGCCAGGACGGTCTCGATCTCCTGACTTCATGATCCGCCCACCTTAGCCTCCCAAAGTGCTGGGATTACAGGCGTGAGCCACTGTGCCCAGCCTTAGGTACATATTTTTATGCTTTTAATATAGGCCCCTTGAAGGCAGCATCTGTGTTTGACCCAATTGAAATGTCCATCACTGGGCTTTGCACAGTTCCTGGCACACAGTAGGTGCTAAGTGCAAGACACATGAATAGATGGACAGATGAATGGTTGTACTTATCAGTGGGTGGATGGACCAAAGGATGAGAGGGCAAGTCAATGGAGGTTTCCAGCCCTCTAGTCCTATCTTGCCTCCCAGGCCTTGTTCCTTTTGTCTGATTCCTTGCCTCCCAGGCCTTGTTCCTTTTGTCTGATTCCTTGCCTCCCTTTCTCCTCCATCTCCCTTCTCACTCAGCTTGGTCCCCTCTAAATCCTGACCTTCTCCCTACTCTAAGGGCTGTGCCTGGCTTTTGTGGAAAGCAAATTCAACATATCAAAGATAAATGAAAACGCAGATGGAAGCTTTGACTATGGCCTCTTCCAGATCAACGGCCACTACTGGTGCAACGATTATAGGAGTCACTCGGAAAACCTTTGCCAGGTGGACTGTCAAGGTCTGGCCAGGGCCCCAGGGTGGGAGAGATGAGAGTGGAAACCAGGCTCTGCTCACAGACTTCTCTTTCCACCCACAGCCTGGGAATGGCCCCAGAGATATGGTTCAAAAAATCAGGGAATCCCTTTACTGAGCAGAGGGCTGGAGTAGTGTCCCTAATGCCCATCCAGTTAGGAGATTCTATAGAGTCCCTGAATAGGATGCAGAAAGGCTCTGTATACAGCTGGTAGTAGTAGAACAGTTGCAGCAGCCAATGTTTATTGAGAGAATATTATACACTAAGCACTTTACATACTTAGCTTATTTCATCCAACTTTCATGCAGTAGAAACCATTTATGATCCCCACTTTACAAAACAGCAAAGTGAGGCTCAAAAAGAGAACCAGCATTGAATGCCAGACCTGACAGGCTCTTAACCATTCTGGAGTACCATCTTCAGCTAACGATCTGACCAAAGGCCAAGTGCAAATTCCCTAGCTCAGAGCTGATCCAGGAGGCTCGACAGGGCCCATGACTCTGCCCCTCACCGCTGCCTTCGCACACTGACTGATGCCCCTGGGCTCCTCACCTGAAGACCCCCGCTCACTAGGTGGGACATACCTCTGTGGTGTTTTGGCATTTCCTCTCCCTAGAAACCTCCCACAAACTTTGAGTGAACCACCATCTACTCTGGTTAGGAAGAATAGTAGTGAACGGGCCCAAATCTCAGGCCTCTTGCCCCTTCTGCCCACACCCCCTTTCACCTCCAACCTCCAGCAGCCATTGTAGGGATGTCTAAATGGGCCCCTGGGAGAGAGCCTTTGCCTCAGCTGGAAACCTCGAGGTGGCATAAGCCTGTCTAGGGAGGGCTGGTGTCTGCCTCCATCTTAGGGACTGTCTTCTGTGCCCTCACAGGTTTTCTCTTCCTTCCTTTCAGATCTGCTCAATCCCAACCTTCTCGCAGGCATCCACTGTGCAAAAAGGATTGTGTCCGGAGCACGGGGGATGAACAACTGGTGAGGAGGACACCGTGGGACTCAGCGGGCAGAGCCCCACGAAGGAGGGCATGACAGAGAAAAGGGCGGTAGACAAGGACTCACGGGCACGCCCTTGCAGTGTCTAGAAAGATGTGGGATAGCGTTGGGCTTGGAACTCTGAGTTAGAAGACCTGGGATCTGGTTCTTCCATGATATTGTATTGAACAAAACTCTTCTGGTTGCGGTAACAGAAAACAACTTGAGCTAGCTGGGGAAAATCTATTCTGAGAGGACCAGATGTCTCACTGAGCCCACTCAAGGGCTTCAGCTGGGCCCCAGAAAGACCATGGAACCAGGGCTGGAAATTGTCAGCAAGCTTTCCATGGCAGGTTTCAGCTTCTCTTGGTGCATTTGCTTCACAACTCTCTCTGCAGACTTTCTCTGCTCCACAATCTAAAGGACAAAGGGTGCTGCAAAGTTAATGAGCTGAAGTCCTAAGCAACCATAGGGACTGGCTAGGCTCAGTCCCAGTCCAATTTCCTGGGATACAGAATCTGATTGGTTCCACTTGCACCACTGTGCCCCCTTGGTCCAATCAACTGTAGGGATGGGAGGAGTTAAGCAATACAATTACGGCTGCTGCGGGGGCCCTATGGCCATAATTGACTTTTTTTTTTTTTTTTAATTTAAAAATGCTGACCGGGCGTGGTGGCTCACGCCTGTAATCTCAACACTTTGGGAAGCTAAGGCGGGTGGATTACTTGAGGTCAGGAGTTTGAGACCAGCCTGGCCAACATGGTGAAACCCCGTCTCTATTAAAAATACAAAAAATTAGCTGGTCATGGTGGCGTGTACCTGTAGTCCCAGCTACTCGGGAGGCTGAGGCAGAAGAATCGCTGGAACCTGAGAGATTGAGGCTGCAGTGAGCCAAGATCACACCACTGCACTCCAGCCTGGGCGGCACAGTGAGATTCTTGTTTAAAAAAAAAAAAAAAATGTGGTGGCCGGGCACGGTGGCTCACTCCTGTAATCCTAGCACTTTGGGAGGCTGAGGTGGGTGGATCACAAAGTCAAGAGTTCGAGACCAGCCTGGCCAATATGGTGAAACCTTGTCTCTACTAAAAAATACAAAAATTAGCCAGGCGTGGTGGTGGGCGCCTGTCCCAGGCTGCTTTTTATGTTATATGGGGATGAGGCACTCACCCTGTGGGCCGGGATCTCTCTGGGGACCCTTCCCTTGCTTTGTGTCCATGCTCCTTAAGGCAAGCTACTTGGGAGGCTGAGGTAGGAGAATCGCTTGAACCTGGGAGCCAGAGGTTGCAGTGAGCCGAGATCGCACCACTGCACTCCAGCCTGGGCAGCAGAGCAAGAATCCCTCTCAAAAACAAACAAACAAACAAAAAACAAAAAACGACAACAACAACAACAAAAAAAATGTGGCGCTCATCAGCTAGGCAGACACCCACAAAGCTGGGAGCTCACCAACGGTGGACATTCAGATAGTCACCTTTTCTGAGCTTCAAACTAGATATATAAGTAACACAAATGGCCGCCTCTATAGGCGACTGTGGAAGGAGTCAAATCCCTTGCATACTCAAAACACCACAGAAAAGAATTGATAGCAATGATTATGCCGACCCTTTCTGGAGGGAGAAGGAATGGGTGCACCCGAGACTTTTTTTTTTTTTTTGTAATAAGTAAGTCTCAGCCCTGTGAAACAGTACTCACCCCTTCAGGGAGAGATGAGGATTTTCAAATGTGGAAATGTTGATCCAGGGAAGCAGGCAAACACCAGAGATGAGAGAGTTTTACAGGATTCGTCAGAGGGGACAGTGGAGGACAGACCAGAAGGATAACAATGAAGGGGATTCTGGGCATTGCTCCACATGCGAGACTCACCAAGAACTGGGTCATGTGTGTGGAGGAGTCACTGAGCGTGAGGCAAGAACCATGTCTTTTTTCTCCACAGGGTAGAATGGAGGTTGCACTGTTCAGGCCGGCCACTCTCCTACTGGCTGACAGGATGCCGACTGGGATGAAACAGGGTGCGGGTGCACCATGGAGTCATTCCAAGACTCCTGTCCTTACTCAGGAATTCTTCATTTCTTCTTCCTATGCCTCAACTTCATGTTATTTTCTTCCCTTCCCATTTACAACTAAAACTGACCAGAGCCCCAAGAATAAATTATTTTCTTGGCTTCCTCCTTACTCCCATCTGGACCCAGTCTCCTGGTTCCTGTCTGTCATTTGTAAACTGAGGACCACAATAAAGAAATCTCTATATTTATTGAAGCACTCACTCTGCAAAGAAGGCATCCATTTTTTCATTATTCTATGTATATTTGAGTACCTGAGACAGTGGGAGTGTACTAGGTACTAGAAGGAAGACAAAACACAACTGTTGCTCTTTAGGTGTTCATAATCTAGGTGGAGACGCAGAAACATCCACAAACATTACAATAGATAATTAAATGTATAATAAAATTTGTAATTGTTGCTTTGAAACAGTATCAGCGTCCAAGTAATTCCTCCAAAGAATAATTTTTGAAGTAAAAGAGAAAGCTCAGAAGTAGGCAATGGGTGGGGCTAAGGGTATGGTATTGATGTGGAGAAAGTAGTGATGGGATGGAGAAATAGTGGCAGACGCCAATAATTTTGGGGTGCTTTGGGAGAACAGGCTAGGATCTAGACAATTTAAAAAGTCTTCTCTGGACAGGATCTGGTTTGCCTGGAGGGTGCTGATGTGGAGTAGAACATGCTTAAAGAAAAAGCAAAGTCAGAAAAGGGACAGTTGAAGGAATGTCCTACACATAGCTACCATCAGTAGTGTCTGACCAAACTGGGGTTTTATCTTGGACCACTTATTTCTCTACCACTGAGCCTTAACTGTTTCTACTATAAAAGGAGAGATTTGACTATTCAGTGGTTCCCAGACTTTTGTATTTCACAGGTGATAAAATGTAAAAAATAATTAAACCTGAGATTTCTAATTTTTTTTTTTTTTTTTTTTTTTTTTTTTTTTTTTTTTTGAGACAGAGCCTCACTGCATAGCCCAGGCTGGAATGCAATGGCAGGATCTTGGCTCACTGCAACCTCCAACTCCTGGGCTCGAGCAATTCTCCTGCTTCAGCCTCCCAAGTAGCTGGGACTACAAGTGTGCGCTACCACACCCAGCCAATTTTTTTTTTTTTTTTTTTTTTTTTTTTTTTTTGAGACGAAGTCTCACTCTGTCACCCAGGCTGGAGTGCAGTGGCATGATCTCCACTCACTGTAACCTCTGCCTCCTGGGTTCAAGCAATTATCCTGCCTCAACCTCCCCAGTAGCTGGGATTACAGGCACCCACCACCATACCGGGCTAATTTTTGTACTTTTAGTAGAGACAGGGTTTCACCATGTTGGCCAGGCTGGTCTTGAACTCTTGACCTCAGGTGATCCACCCACCTCAGCCTCCCAAAGTGCTGGAATTACAGGCATGAGCCACCGTGCCCAGCTATTTTGTATTTTTAGGAGAGACAGGGTTTCACCATGTTGGCCAAGCTGGTCTTGAACTCCTGACCTCAAGTGATCCACCTGCCTTGGCCTACCAAAGTGCTGGGATTATGGATGTGAGCCACCAGGCCCGGCTGAGATTTCTAATTTTTAATTTTAATGTCCAAATAAGAGCATTAAAGCAACTATCCTCTATTAGCATCTTGTCATAAAACAATTTTTAGTATCAACATTATAGGGAGGTCATACTTGTAGAAGAATGGAGTGGAATCTATCTTATTTTATGAAATTATAAAAAACCTGATTATATTTTCCAGATTGTCCTCATTTTGCAGAGTAGGGGTGAAAACTTTATCACAGCATGGGTCTGAGGATCATTATTCAGAAACCACCAGAGACTTGTCCTGCAGGGTCTCTTCTGGCTCTGACATTCTAGGATTAAAATAAACAGTAGTAGGAACTGCTTGCTTTCCTTCTTGTGTTACTGAAACAGACTTTATAAAAATTATGACAAATCTGACCTAACTGATTCCATTTTGCTTCTAACTCCAAGCTGCCCTTGCTCATTCCTGGGCACAGGCCACACTAACTATGGGATGAATTTTTACTGTTTAACTTTGAAACAAAGATAATAGTCCTTTCCTGAAACAAACCACGTCCCTGCTTGGGAATCAGATCTCCTTTGTAACGCAAACAAATTAGCCACAAGATTAGAAATTATGGCTCAGAAATTATGTAGCCAGAGGCCACAAGATTCCTAACCTCCCCAGTTGCTTCTATTCAAAACATTGTTGTAGTCTCAGCAATGCACCAAGATACAACAGTCTCTAGTTATCTGAGATAACTCCCAGAGTTCTTTGTCCTACCTCCAAGATGATTAAGGAGCAGGGACACAAAGGTGGGGTTACAGCAAAAGTTTAATAAGCGAAAGAAGAAAGCTCTCTGCCAGCAGAGAGTGGGGGCCAGAATGGGTGTCCCCTCTGAGGCTGGGTATTTATGGATTGGAAAGGGGAAGCAATGTGCTTAGTCCGCCGGCTGTCTTGGAGAACTCAGCTTGGCCAGGAGCCTTGGCCCAGGACCAGTCAGGAGCTGAAATGATGATTCTTAGATGCTTCTTAACTTGGCCCGAGACCTATCAGGGGCCGAAGTGATGATTCATAGAGGCTGGACTGACAGTCCAAAAAGGAAAGCGGAGTGCCCACTGGAACCCACCGGAGCCCACTATGCGCATGCCCACAAAAGGAGAAGCAACTTCATCCTGGGAGCCCGCTGACTATACAAAGGACAAAGGCATTTCTATGCCAGGCCTCGTTCCTTTATCTGAGTGAGCTGAAGGTTTGTGCAAGCTTTTATCCAAATGGGCCAGAGGTTTTTCCATCTGTGCAGCCATGGGCATGTCTCCAGGCACAATGACCTATGCTAGTTCCCTTATCAGTGCTGGTAGCTTGAATTTTTTCCCAGGCTGCTTTTTATGTTATGTGGGGATAAGGCACTGACCCTATGGGCCGGGATCTCTCCAGGGACCTTCCCTTGCTTTGTGTCCACTCTCCGTAAGGCAAGCTAACTAACTCCTTTCAACATTACTATTATAAAACCTAAAATTGGCGTTCTAGGTATTTTTCAGACCCTTTATTCTGACGGACCAGCTGGCACCACTCAGATGGGCAAACCTGCTCATCTGTTCTTGTGGCCCCCCAACCAGGAATTCACTCAGCACAAGAACACAAGCTCTGACTCTCTCTGATTTCATCCTTGACCCAACCAGTCAGCATTTCCCATTCCCTGGCCCCCTGACTGCCAAATTATCCTTTAAAAAACACCAGCTTCGGCCAGGCACGGTGGCTCACGCCTGTAATCCCAGCACTTTGGGAGGCCGAGGCTGGTGGATAACGAGGTCATGAGACCGAGACCATCCTGGTTAACACGGTGAAACCCCGTCTCTACTAAAAAATACAAAAAACACTAGCCGGGTGAGGTGCTGGGCGCCTGTAGTCCCAGCTACTGGGGAGGCTGAGGCAGGACAATGGCGTAAACCCGGGAGGCAGAGCTTGCAGTGAGCTGAGATCCGGCCACAGCACTCCAGCCTGGGCGACAGAGCGAGACTCCGTCTCAAAAAAACAAAAACAAAAACAAAATAACCTCTTAAGTCAAAAGATTGCATCTTTCATGGTTATTTCCCACAAGCTCAGTAGGTAGTGCTAATACTTAGTACCCTAATCTCCTTCAGGAGTGAAGATGAAGCTGGCTGCTATAAACATGTCCCTACCCTTCCATCCTGTCAGCCCATTTTGGAACGCTAAACATGCTTTGAACGGAAGCTCTGAACTCAGGGATCTTGGGGCTGTGGCTGGAGGAGGGGAACAGACTCAGAGGCCGGCCCTAGGCAGGAGGGGCGAGGGAGCGATCCGAGAGCCGGCCCCGCCCCTCGCACGCGCCCCTTTTTAAAAAAGCGCGGGCGTGCCTTGCGCAGGCGCATTGCTGGGGCGAAGGTGAGCCGCGCAGGTGCGGTGAAGGGAGGATGGCGGAGTTGGTTCCTTTTGCGGTTCCCATCGAGAGTGACAAAACCTTGCTAGTGTGGGAACTGAGCTCCGGACCTACGGCCGAGGCTTTGCATGTGAGCCGGGGCCAGAAAGGAGGGAGGGATGGAGAAAGCCGCCCACCCGCTGACTGGGAGTTCCGGAGCCCTGCCTCAGACCCTTACCTGCCTCAGCCTCTGCTGAAGGACTCTTAATTCTAAAAGGGATCCCAACTGACAACAAACGACCCCCAAAAGATTTTTAAGAGTCCCAGAGAGGTATCTCTCCACCGACAGCACGTTTTACCTTCCAGTGCTTCTTAAAGTTTAGGAATTTAAGAGGAAAACCTGTTGATTAAGTGGGAAGTGTTTTGAATAGCATCCTTCGCGAAGAGGGGTTTGGGGAATATGAGGGCAAGTGCGGTTTTGTTTGCTGGGCGTGAGATTTCATGTACTTACTTGGGGTGGGACCACCCCCACAGCATTCTCTGTTCACAGCATTTTCCCAGTTTGGCCTTCTGTATTCAGTCCGGGTCTTCCCAAATGCTGCAGTGGCCCATCCTGGTTTCTATGCCGTCATTAAGTTTTATTCAGCAAGGGCTGCCCGCAGAGCCCAAAAGGCATGCGACCGGAAGCAGCTTTTTCAGAAATCTCCAGTCAAGGTGGGTCCAAATATGGAATTCCTAGCTCCGCTGTGATGAAGTGCTGAATTCAATAATAGGTTAGCATTTGTCTAGCACTCTGGTTTACGGAATATTTTCAGATGCATTGCCACACTAATCTTCCAGTTCTCTGGGTTTTTTAGATGAAGAAACTCAAACTCAAGATGGTTGAGTGACTTGTTTAAGGTTCCTGAAAAGAATTATGGAAACTTGAGGTTGAACTAAAACCTGCTGAGCTAAACCTCATGTCATTTTATGCTGTCCCTTTTTGAGAAATCTCAGCTTGGGCAGCAAAGTGAGACCCTGTCTCTATTAAAAAAAAAAAAAAAAAAAATTAAAGATAAGGCTGGGCACCGTGGCTCATGCCTATAATCCCAGCACTTTGGAAGATGGAGGCAGGCGGATCACTTGAGGCCAGCAGTTTGAGATCAGCCTGGGCAACATAGCAAAACTCCATCTATACTAAAAATACAAAAACTAGCCAGGCATGGTGGCATGCGCCTGTAGTTCCAGCTACTCGGGAGGCTGAAGCATGAGAATCGCTTGAACCCAGGAGGCTGAAGCATGAGAATCACTTGAACCCAGGAGGTGGAGGCTGCAGTGAGCCGAGATTGTGCCACTGCACTCTAGCACGGGTGACAGAGTGAGACTCCATCTCAAAAAAAGAAAAGAAAGAAAGAAAAATAAAAAATTAAATATCAGTCAGGTATGGTGGCATGCACCTGTAGTCCCAGCTACTTGGGAGACTGAGGTGGGAGGATCGCTTGAGCCTAGAGGTTTGAGGGTGCAATGAGTCATAATAATTGCATCACTGCACTCCTGCCTGGGCCACACAGTGAAACCCTATCTCTAAACAATGAGTGAATGAATGAAATCTTCGCCAGAAGACTTCTGCTTCTATTTACTTTTTAATTTTTTTAGAGACAGAGTATCCCTGTGTTGCCCAGGCTGGTCTCTAAATCCTGGCCTCAAGCAGTCCTCCTGCCTCAGCCTCTTAAGTAGCTAGGTACAAGCCACCATGCCCAGCTACATTTATTTTTTATTTTTGTTTCTTGAGATGAAGTCTTATTTTGTCACCTAGGCTGGAGAGCAGTGGCATGATCTCGGCTCACTGCAACCTCTGCCTTGCGGGTTCAAGCGATTCTCCTGCCTCAACCTCCTGAGTAGCTGGGACTACAGGCACCTGCCACCACACCTGGCTAATTTTTGTATTTTAGTAGAGATGGGGTTTCGCCATGTTGGTGAGTCTGGTCTTGAATTCCTGACCTCAAGTGATTCGCCCACCTCAGCCTCCCAAAGTGCTGGGACTACAGGTGTGAGCGACCACGCCCAGCCATATATTATATATTTACTTTTTTTTTTTTTTTTAAGACGGAATTCTGCTCTTGTTGCCCAGGCTGGAGTGCAGTGACATGATCTCAGCTCACCACAACCTCCACCTCCCGGGTTCAAGCGATTCTCCTGCCTCAGCCTCCCAAGTAGCAGGGATTACAGGCATGCACCACCATGCCTGGCTGATTTTGTGTTTTTGGTAGAGACGGAGTTTCTCCATGTTGGTCAGGCTGGTCTCAAACTCCTGAACTTAGGTGGTTCACCCACCTTGGCCTCCCAAAGTGCTGAGATTACAAGCATGAGCCACCACGCCCAGCCTATATATTTACTTTTATGTGAATTTAAAATGTGTGGGTGTGAACAAGTCTTCTGCCAGCTGTTACATAAAGGAAACTGTATCATCATCATCATCATCATCATCATGCTCACCATGGCTCACAAACTGCCTATTTGGAACTCCCTTCAGTTCTGAGAGGATGGGAACATTCTTTAAGCAGCATTGTAGAAACCCTATTCCATATTAACATGCCAACCAATTTTACCTTCCCAGAGCCACAGAATGATATCTCATTGTATGCCTCAATTCAGTCACCTTTCCCTTTTCAAGGACCATTTCAATTCCTAATTGGCTACTTGATCTGACTGTTTCCTACTAATCTTGCTGCCTATTACTGTCTATATTCCATTCCTCATTGAATTAACCTTGATCAAATCTGAGAACTCTGCTCAGTAATGACTCCAGATATACTACTCCCACTTCGGTAGCCTGTTCAATGCCCTCTTAGCCTGTTCAACACCCTCTTCAATCCTGGTTCCACTTCCTGTGACTGAAATGATTACCTGTGAGATATTATTTAACTTTTGAACTATGGTCTGTTTCTAACCTGTGACCATTTCACATAGCCACTCAAATATTATAAAGGTGCAACTAAGATTATGAAACATTTACTTGGTATCATTTTGTGAGTAATGAGTTTTTAGTGCTCTTTGGACATTGAGACCATTTCATAAGCTTTAGGTTTTGAGAATTTCACAGCATAAAGCCCATCACTGAGACAGTAATGAAGGATATGTTCTACAACTCAATAGATTAGGTGAGAGGAGAGGGCGTTCATACTAGATTTATTTGTTTACTAAACCCAAAACCTTGGGTTGCTACTCACCCCCCACTGTAATCTAGTTTAAGTGTTCTTTTCTACTTTAGAAAAGAACATTTTTCATACATTTTCATTTTCATACATTTAGTTCCTGGTTTTTTTGCCTTTTTAAATACAGAAAAGAGAATAATGTTTTAAAATAAAATCAAGGAAAGGCCTAAGGCACCTGAGAGGGTTTTGTTTTTGCTTTTTGGGTTTTTGTTTTTGCTTTTGTTTGGAGACGGAGTCTTGCTCTGTCACCCAGGCTGGAGCGCAATGGCATGATCTCAGCTCACTGCAGCCTCTGCCTCCCAGGTTTAAGTGATTCTCCTGCCTCAGCCTCCAGAGTAGCTGGGATTACAGGCATGCACCACCACACCCAGCTAATTTTTGTATTTCTGGTAGAGACAAGATTTCTCCATGTTGGCCAGGCTGGTCTTGAACTCCTGACCTCAAGTGATCTGCTCGCCTCAGCCTCCCAAAGTGCCAGGATTACAGGCGTGAGTCACTGCGCCTGGCCAAGAGGGTTTTTTGTGGGTTTTTGTTTTTGTTTTTGTTTTTTTGTGAAATGAAGGAAAATGGTTGCCGCCAAGAACTGTGGCAAGGTTATCCAAGCTGACAACTGTCTGTGCCACCCAGGGGCTCAGAGTTTTTCTGAAGCTTCCTGGTTGTCCAGAAAGACTCCACTGTGACTCATGATACAGGCCGGTCTCGCCAATAGCACTCAATGTTTAAAAATTGGTCTTCATTTCTCTTTCCCAACAGGCATTTCTCCTTCTTTTCAGTTGGAGAAAGTAATTTCAATTTTTACTTGCTCATTGTTTTATTCATTCAATTGACAGATCATCTGTCCTCTATTATATGCCAAGAACTGTGCTTGGTTCTGGAAGTGAAAAAAGCTATGGTTTCGTCTGGGACTTACGGAGCTTGTAAACCAGTGATAGAGGAAGGTGCATAATCAAATCAATAAAGAATTAACTTCGGCCAGGCGCGGTGGCTCACGCCTGTAATCGCAGCACTTTGGGAGGTGAAGGCAGGCAGATCACGAGGTCAGGAGATCGAGACCATCCTGGCTAACATGGTGAAACCCCGTCTCTACTAAAAAATACAAAAAATTAGCCAGGCGTGGTGGCGAGCACCCATAGTCCCAGCTACTCGGGAGGCTGAGGCAGGAGAATGGTGTGAACCCAGGAGGCGGAGCTCGCAGTGAGCCGAGATCGGGCCACTGCACTCTAGCCTGGGCGACAGAGCAAGACTCCGTCAAAAAAAAAAAAAAAGAATTAACTTTACTGTTAATTCTTATTAATTTCTAATACAAATAAATTTGACTTTGTATCATTTGAATTTCATGAATATAATAGAGTTAAAAATGAAATAGACATATAGGAAAGAACTTGTGATGTAAGAAATCCACAAAAATGGGTAAAATATTTTAAGAATTAACAGTAGATATTTGCATTCTCAAAGAAACTTATAAATGCATATAAACCTCTAGTTGTTTCAGTTGCTTGTAAAATTTGTAGAAGTATGTGTATTTCCTCTTTTTTTTTTTTTTTTTTTTTTGGAGACAGAGTCTTACTCTGTTGCTTAGGGTAGAGTGCAGTGGCACTATCTCGGCTCACTGCAAGCTCTGCCTCCCAGGTTCAAGCCATTCTCCTGCCTCAGCCTCCGGAGTAGCTGGGACTACAGGCACATGTCACCATGCCTGGCTAATATTTGGTATTTTTAGTAGAGACAGGGTTTCACCATGTTAGCCAGGATGGGCTCGATATCCTTACCTTGTGATCCACCCGCCTCAGCCTCCCAAAGTGCTGGGATTACAGACGTGAGCCACCGCACCCGATTGTATTTCATCTTTTAACAGAGTTTAGTAACTTGGGGAGGGGGATGGGTGGTGGGTTCATCTTATCTATATTCAGGTCATATTCTCAAGCAGGAGCTACTGAATGGGAAGACCGAAACAATTTTTCTTTGCACACTTGGTATTGACAAATCTCAGATGTATCCATAATAAAATCTCTAGCAGGTTGTGATATTTATGAGTCTATCTCTTATGATTTTAGGTTCGTCTTGGCACCAGACATAAGGCAGTTCAACATCAAGCTCTTGCCCTGAATAGTTCCCGATGCCAAGAACTGGCGAATTACTACTTTGGTTTCAATGGGTGGTCCAAAAGGATCATCAAGGTAAACCTTGTAGATTTTTTTTCACTAACCACACTCTCCTTTCAACATTGAAATCCTAGATTTTAGACAGAAGTATTGAACTGGATTGTAGGGAGGAGATGGGAGAGGCCTCTACCATTGAGGATAAGTGGACATTTCTGAATTGGCCTGCTACCTAGAATTAATAATCTCAGTCACTTGGATGGTGGTATCCATAATTTTCTCTACTGTTTTTGTGGCATATAATAAAAAATGGTTGTCTCTATCTAGCAACTCATTTGCAAATCTAACTTGATTTTGAAGCCATAGGATACCTCAACTGTTAGCTTGAATGACTGGAATTTAGTTGTTTTTTTGTTGTTGTTTTTGTTTGTTTGTTTGCTTTTTGGTTTTTTGTTTTGTTTTGTTTTTTTGAGACAGGGTCTCACTCTGTCGTCAGGCTGGAGTGCAGTGGTGCTATCTCGGCTCACTGCAAAATCTACCTCCTGGGTACAAGCAATTCTCCTGCCTCAGCCTCCTGAGTAGCTGGGACTACAGGCGCCCGCCACCATGCCCAGCTAGTTTTTGTATTTTTAGTAGAGACAGGGTTTCACCATGTTGGCCAGGATGCTCTCAATCTCTTGACCTCATGATCTGCCCACCTCGGCTTCCCAAAGTACTGGGATTACAGGCATGAACCACCACGCCCGGCCAAGTTTTTACTTTTAATAACAAAACATTTTGAAGCCTACATTAAGATCCTAGGAAGGACCTTACATTAAATATCCTTACAGCTTCAGGAGCTTTCTGACCTTGAAGAAAGAGAAAATGAAGATAGCATGGTGCCACTTCCGAAGCAAAGCCTGAAGTTCTTCTGTGCTTTAGAGGTGATGTTGCCATCCTATGATTGCAGGAGTCCTGGCGTTGGCTTGGTGGAGGAGCCTGTGGATAAGGTGGAAGAAGGTCTGTTTTCATTGGGAGTGGAGGAGGGTAGGGATTTGGCGTGGAAAGGATCTTTCTTTTTTTCTTACTTTCCGAAAGTCATCTTTTCGGATACATATCAAGCCCTTCCCTCTCTGAGCTACTGAAGTCCTGGGCAGAGTTTTTCTGTCTTACAGTATAGGGTTTTACTGTAGGTAATACCTGATTGAACCTTTAAATTTAAAATCGTACAGCTGACTTCCTGCCAAGAAACTTAGGAGGAAGAAGGAAGTAATGTTTTTACAGTTTTTGGTTAAGAACTTGCTTCGAGCTAAAATAGTTCTTCAAATATGTGTCTCTTGTAGCCCTCGGTTATCCCAGCAAAACCATTTAAAGTTTTTGTTTTTTTTTAAATCTATTTATTATTTTTTTAGAGGCAGGGTCTTGCTCTGTTGCCCAGGCTAGAGTACAGTAGCATGATCATAGCTCACTGTAACCTCCAACTTCTGGGCTCAAGGGATCCTCCTGCCTCAGCCTCCTGAGTAGCCAGGACTACAGGCATGCACCACCACACCTGGCTAATTATTATTATTTTTAGAGATGGGGTCTTTCTGTGTTGTCCCACCTGGTCTCCAACTCCTGGCCTCAAGAGATCCTCTTGCCTCAGGATCCCAAGTTGCTGGGATTATAGGCATGAGCTACCAGGCCAGGTCATCATCTAAAGATTTACATAAACTTTTGTGTAAACATTCAGTTCTTTTTTTTTACTCATAAAAGGGTTTCAGCCAAAAAAGAGTCTAATATAGATACCTAGAAAGAGTACTCAATTGATACTAATGTTGAGTATTTTTTTAGTATTCATGTCCATCAGGCTTAGGGTTTGAAGTCAGAGGCAGGGCTGTAGGCTAATGGAGTGGAGTAGGCTCCCGGGGGTGATGCCCAGGGAGGAGCCAAATTATCTGTACCAAAGTTTTTTCTTTTTTGACATGGAGCCTCACTCAGTCGCCTAGGCTGAGGTGCACTGGCGTGATCTCGGCTCACTGCAACCTCCACCTCCCAGGTTCAAGCATTTCTCCTGCCTCAGCCTCCCAAGTAGCTGGGGTTACAGGTGCCTACCACCACACCTGGCTATTTTCTTGTTGTTGTGTTTTCATTAGAGACAGGGTTTCACCATGTTGCCCAGGCTGCTCTCAAACTCCTGACCTCAAGTGATCTGCCCACCTCAGCCTCCCAAAGTGCTGGGATTATAGGCATGAGCCACCGGACCTAGCCCTTTTTTTTTGAGACACAGAGTCTCACTCTGTCACCCAGGCTGGAGTGCAGTGGCCTGATCTCAGCTCACTGCAACCTCTGCTTCCTGGTTCAAGCCTCAGACTCCCAGGTAGCTGGGATTACAGGTGTGTGCCACCACACCTGGCTAATTTTTGCATTTTTAATAGAGACAGGGTTTCACCGTGTTCGCCAGGCTGTTCTTGAACTCCTGGCCTCAAGTTTCACCACATTGACCAGGCTGTTCTTGAACTCCTGGCCTCCACCTGCCTCAGCCTCCCCAAGTGCTGGGATTACAGGCATGGGCCACCATGTCCAGCCAACCAAACCTTTTTTGATGAGTGATTCCAGCCCTTGATGCACAGGAGGGTAGGGTCTGTAGGAGTGTTGCCTTAACTGATCAATTTGAAATCTCTGGGTGATGTGAGACATGTGCCAGGTTCTTGGCTGTTATCTCCCTTCTAGTACTTCAGGAACTTCCCTACTAGATGGAGGCGTAAAAATGGGCCCTGCCAGGATATACCTATAACAGAGCCATTCAACCATACCCTTGTGCCGTCTGTCCTTAATCACAAAGGTTATGAGCTAAGAACCATGGGTGCATTTTTAGTTTTTAAACATATAGCAATTATCATTCAGATAGGCATCTTAAATCCATTTGTTTTGGTTGGATTTAGGACCGTTATCGTTCCTTATGAAAAGGAAGACAGCCCAGAAGCTTGCTATTCAGAAGGCTTTGTCAGACGCATTCCAGAAACTGTTGATTGTTGTTCTAGGTAAGACTCTCTTGATCGTCCTAGAAGTACTTCAGTTTCAATGGGCAAATAAACTCATTTTGAAAAGTTAATTGGATAAAAATATTGATATCTAAAGCACTCTATAGTATGCTTTCATTTGCTAAATTATTTCACAGCAACAGGCTCAAATTTGTTCTGTGTGACATTTGTGGAAAAAAAAAACGACAGCAAATACTGTTCCTAGTTTACAGATGTGAAAGGACTTGCCTCAGTTCCCACAGAAAATGTTTAAGCCAGGTCTTCTTTAATTGCTTGCCTATCATATAGAATAGTGATTATAAGTTTTGGACACATGGATTTGAGTCCTAACTCTGTCTCTTAGATTTTTAATGCAATTTTAGGTCTTATAGCCAGAGAGATTTGAAAATACTTAATAGCTCTAAGCTGCAGTCTCTTCATCTACAAACTGGGGTTAGTAATTCAGTCAGCCTTATGAAGGATATTGTAAGAGTAAATGAGATGACAAATGTAAAAACTCAGAACTACACTTACAAGATAAGCAGACATATTAACTGTTATTGTCATTGTTGATTTCTGTCTGAATAAATAAACTCTGTGCCGAGGAGTTTATTAGATTTTGTTTCCTGAATCGAGAATTCAATTTCAGCTTTCATTTCTGGCACTGACACATTGGGCAAGTATGATTCTTATACAACAATCAGCTGCTTTGCTGTGAGCCTTGGAATTGGTCATGCTATTGAATGGCATTGCTTGTATTCCCTATTGAGTTCTACAGTGGCACGAATGTTACAGGCTGTGCCCAAAGGAAGCCTGATGATTGGCAAAGAGTCCCTGAACAGAGTTGCTCTTCTGCTTCACAGCCCTAAAGGCTTAAGAGACTGAGAGATCCTAATTAAGTTACCACAGACCTTTATTTGCTTGTAGGAGGTGGCCCTGATTGCTCTCAGCTTTCCAACCTGGACAACAGCCCTTCTAGTGAAAGTCTTACTTCCTTGATCATCAGCTGTCAAGTCTGAGTAACAACCTTTAAGAACCAAACGAAGTGTGTGGGTTGTTTACCTCTCCCTAGTATACAAAGGTATCTCTTGCACACACTGAAAACTTTTTAGACCAAAAGCCTTATGGCTCTAGTTTGCCTTGAAGGTAGTTCTATTGTCTATAAGAATATGTGGGCCTGTGTCTGCCAATAAAATGTTCAAATGTTCTCTCTCTCAGAAGCTTTGTTCATTGCATCTGGTGGAATGAATTTTGGTTCTCAGGGTGCAGACACCTGGCCCTTGCTTCTAATGTGAAGTGTCTACTGGCCCAGTGGTCTCTACTCCAAATTTGAACTTGCTTTGACCCCCACCTGATACCTTACCATTTCATCGTATTATGATTGAACATTTTGGTTTCCATATTTTTTCTTATGTTATTCCTTAGTTCCTATCTGTAAGATCATAATGTCCTTTGTACAAAATATGGTTGATATTTCATATATATGTTAAAAACTGAGGTGTGAGGCCAGGCATGGTGACTCACACCTGTAATCTCAGTATTTTGGGAGGCCAAGGCAGGAGGATCACTTAAAGCCAGGAGTTCGAGACCAGCCTGGGCAACAAAGCAAGACCGTGTCTCTAAAAAAAAATTAGGCGGGCACAGTGGTGTGTACCTGTAGTCCCTGCTACTCTGGAGGCTGAGCCAGGGGGATCACTTGATCCCAGGAATTCCAGGCTGCAGTGAGCTATGACAACGCCACTGCACTCCAGCCAGGGTGACAGAGTAAGACCGTGTCTTCCAAAAAAAAAAGGAAAGAAAGAAAAAACTGAAGCGTGAGATGAGGAGATAAGGAAACTTCCAGGAAAATGTTCTTATTTTCTGCTTTTAGAAACCAAAAGAATGTTCATGGGGTGCTACCATTATATGCAGGATGTTTTAGAATGAAAAAGATTCTGAATTGATCCTTGCTAACTTTATTTCAGAAAGTGGTAAAATAGCTGTGGAGTACAGACCCAGTGAAGACATCATAGATGTCAGATGCGAAGAAGAACTACACGGTTTAATTCAAGTATGTGGAGATAAAAACTCAGGGGTTAACATAGCCAATGTAACCATAATTCAAAACAAGCAGCATAATTTGGAGGACAATTTGTTTCATTCTTAGGAAAATGTGAAACTGATACTACTTTTGAGTGCAGAGTATTTCTGAGGCTTTTCCTGAAGTCTTGACCTTTGACTCTGACCCGTTATTTGAAGTTTGGAGAGCAGAACTGAAGACTGTCAGAGTGTTATTACAGTTGTGGACACAGGAGAGGGGTTAGTCTTCCCCCAGGATTTAGGGATGCCAGGCTGCTTGAACATAGGCCTTTTTAGAACTTTCTTCAAACAGGATCCCAGAGATATGGGGAAAAAGTAACTGGCCTTAAGAATGATCGTGCTACAGCTTTCGAAAACTATAATGCCTTTCAAATATGGCTTATTACCTAGATCTCAATATCTCCTTATATCTTGGGTAGACCATTTTGTTGAAGATCTTTCTGTAAATCAATTATAATCATGTGCTGCAAAATGATGTTTCAGTCAACAGTAAACCACATATATGATGGTGATTCCATAAGAGTATAATGGAGCTATCCCTATACAGCTATACCATTTTTTATCTTTTAAACAGTATTTTTACTGTATGTTTTCCATTTTACATACATAAATACCTACCATTGTGTTACAATTGCCTTTGGTATTCCGTATAGTAACATACGGTACAGGTTTATAGCCAAGGAGCCATAGGCCATACCATATAGCCTAGGTGTGCTGTAGGCTATACCACTTAGGTTTTTGGAAGTATATGCTATGATGTTAGCACAAGGGTGAAATCCCCTAATGACATATTTCTCAAGTTTCTCCTCACATGGCAAGCAACGCATGACTGTATATGAAAGCTCTTAAATAGGGATTAAGTTTCTAAATTAATCTCTGAAAGAAAACAGTCATTATTTACTACATATGGAATTTTTTTTTTAAAGGAGCAAAAGTGTTTTATTTCAGTGGGAACTTAATTTGGGGCTAGAGTGTTTTATTTAACTTTCACCCCAGAGTTGCAAAGTGTTTTGTTTTGAAGTTTTTCCCTGTAAAATAATTATTTCAATTCAATTTAAATAAAACCCATCAAGGAAACTTCAAGCTTTAAGAAGTCTAGCTTCCTGTGAAATGTGAGACAAAGTTAGCACTGATTTCAGAAATCTGATTATAATAATAGATCCACCCCTAAATGAGGCGAGTCTTGGAATCCCTTTCATTGTAAAACCATTAATCTGCACCATGTGCCTATGCTAGGCACTGGCATAAGATGAAGCACCTTCTTAGAGTTCGCATGCTGGTGATGGTGCCAGACAATGAGAAATACAATAGGTAATAATGGCTGTGGAGGAAGTCAGCTGGGTTCTAGTTATAGTCACATTTCAGGAAATTATTTAACATGCTGACTTTAACAACCTAAGCCTCTTCATGTGTGCACACAGGGTAGACCTCTGAAGAGTGGCGCTGTAATTTCTAGGGTAATGGCTGTGTTAAGGCAGGGTGACAGTTCAGACTTCTCTCCCAGACTGAATTGCCCACCTCCCAAAACCCTTCCTACAGAAAATTTGGAGTCCTCACTTATTCCCTGGCAGCTCCTACCTAATAGAGTGGTGAATTATCAAACATGCAACAAAGGATATCAAAAGTTTAGCAAAAATGGCAACATTTTGGAATGAATGACCCTACTGTGCATTCTGCCTGCCACCCTAACTGGTGCACATTTTGCAGGTCCATTGCTCTCCCTGGAAGCAGTGTGGCCAAGAGGAGGAAGAGTATCTCTCCGATTTCAGCTTGGAGGAGGAAGAGTTCAGGCTCCCAGAACTTGACTAGCATTTCTGAATATCCCGAGGCGAGGTCACCTAACTTCCTTGGGAAGCTCTGCCGTGCCGCTACCCCACCCCGCCCCACCACTGTAGGCTGCTGGAGTCCTGGGACCACCTGGGTCGGCCGCCCAAATCTTTCCTGGCGAAGGGGAAGGAAAGGGTGTTCTGGTGGAGAGGGAAGGGAGGCTTGGGCGGGATTGTGGGATAAGATCGCCCTGGTGACGAGGAGCAAATCTGGAATGGAACTTAATAAAGGTTGCCTAAATAAAGATATGGTAAATAACGGAGGAGGCGGGGCCGTGGTTGCTAGGAGTGCGAGGTTGCTAGGTGTGCAAGCATCTCTGGGCTGCCATAATGGTTCCAGCTCAGCGTGGGACGCCAACGTATGTCATATACGGGCTGCGTCTCTGGTCCCTACGGCCCCTCCTCACGTGACAACTATTGTGGCTACTAGTCCAGGAGGCTCAGCCAGGTCCAGGGCCCACTCCAGCTGACCTCCGACCCCCTGAGGCCAACTGAGCCCTGGTCTTGGCGCTCCTGCCATCTCCCCCTGGAATCTCCCCATGCGCTTATCCACCCCAACCCCCATACAGACCCGGGGGGCTTTGATAACCTGGGGTCCTTGCACCCAGATGTCAGCCTCGCCTCAGGAACCGACTGAGACTTTGGTTCCATTCCTGGACACGGATCCAGCTGGAGAGCTGCCCCTGGGGCCAGAGAAGTTTGCTGCTGTACACCAGCATCTGAATGACAAGCTGACTTGCAAGAAAGGCTCCCAGAGTTGGTTCCAATGCCAGACTGGGATCAGAACCAGATGCTAGCTCGGCCTCTTTGCCTCAAACGTAAGGTTCAAACTGTAGGTCTAGATCAGGCTGCAGATCATCAGGCATATGAAATACTTGTTCCACCTCTAGATAGTCAGAATTCAAAAGCAGTGAAGATTAGTGTTTTGCCCAAAAACCTGAAGAAAGATCTAGCCAAGCATCAGAGGCTTGCTAAGGTTTTTGTTGGAACTCCACACCGATTTATATCAAAACCTCAGCGTCAGAAACAAACTTTACAGGATGAGTATTTAGGTTCAAGTATGGATATACTATATCTGGGCAGCCTGCCTCCAGAACTCCAGGTGAACTCAGATGAGCCTCCAGGGCCCCCTGAGCAAGTTGGGCTCTCAATTCCATCTAGAGCCTGAAACTCAAAATCCAGAGGACAGATCCAGTCCTCTTCACTCCAGCAAAAAGCCCCAGTGCAGCTTCCACAGCTCCCTGAGGAGGTAGAACCTTCTTCAACCCAGCAGGAGGCCCCAGCTCTGCCTTCACAGTCCGTTAAGGGGCTCCACTCTTCAACACAGCAGGAGGCCCCAGCACAGCAGCTGCCTGCCTCAGAAGAGACTGTAGCTCAGCCATCAATACATCATCAGGTAAATGTTCCATTAAAAGTTGGAGCGAAGCTCAGCACTCACACTTGCCCAATGTCACAGTTAAACCTGTGGATGTGGAGCTTACGATAATTCAAGAGCCAGGTAAGGAACTTACATCAAGCCAGGAACAAGCCGCAGCTCAGCCTCCAGAGTACCCCGAGGAGGTGAACTCTTCCTAAACCCAGTTAAATTCACCAGCTCAGATACCAGACCACCCTGAGAAGACGAAAACGTCTGTAACCCAGCAAGGAAATCCAGCTGAACCTCCAGTTCCTCCTGTGGAGGCTTAACCACCTCCAGGTGAACAGGAGCAGCCAGCCTAGCCTTCTGAGTTTCCAGGGGAGGTTCTCAGACTCAGCAGGAGACCCCAGCTCAGCCTCCCAAGTCTCTGTGGAGAGTGCAGCTCAAACTCCACTGAATCTTGAGGTGACAGTTCAACCTCAGGGTAAGGATCAAGCTCATTTTACCTTGCCCAACATTACAGGTAAACCTGCTGATTTCAAGATTACCATAACTTCAGAGCCTAACAAGGAGGCAGAATCCTCTCAAGCCCAGCAGGAGGCCCTAACCCAGCCTCCAGAGGAGGTGGAACCTTCCGCAACCCAGAAGGAGACCCCAACTGAGCTCCCATGTCCTCCTATGGAGGCTGAGCCTTCCCCCAGTGAGCAGGAGCAGCCAGCTCAGCCTTCAGAGTTTTCTGGGGAGGCTGAACCTTCTTAGACCCAGCAGGAGACCCCAGCTGAGCCTCAGAGTCCTCTATGGAGAGTACAGCTCAAACTACACTGAATCATGAGGTGACACTTCAGCCTCCTGTTGAGGATCAATCTCGTTATAACTTACCCAGTGTTACAGTTAAACCTGTAGATGTGGAGATTATCATAACCCCAGAGCCTGTTAAGGAGGCAGAATCTTCTCAAGCCCAGTAGTAGGCCCCAACCGAGCCTCCAGAGCAGATGGAACCCTTTGCAACCCAGGAGGAGACCCCAACTGAACTTCCAGGTCCTCCTGTGGAAGCTAACTCTTCCCCCAGTGAGCATTTGCAGCCAGTTCAGCCTGCTGAGTCTTCTGGGGAGGTTGAATCTTCTCCAGCCCAGCACGAGACCCCAGCTCAGCCTCCAGAACATCACAAAGTAACATTTTCATCTCCAGGTCACTATCGAGCTCAGCATTCAGATTTGCCCAATGTCACTGTTAAGCCTCCAGTTAATGCAGCTCATCATAGCAACAGAGCCTACTGCAGAGGTGGGAACTTCTCCAATCCACCAGGAGGTTACTGCTCAGCTCTCAGGGCCAGTTAATTATGTGGAACCTTCCACTACCAAGCACGGGGGCCCAACTCTGCCTCCATAGTAATCAGAAGATGATTTTACCAGTTCAACAGGAGACTTCAGTTCAATCTCCAGCTATTAAAGATGAGAACCTCTCTCCAGCCCAGCAGGAGGCCGCTGCTGAGTATCCACAGATGCCTGAGGAGGTTGAGTCTTCTCCAACACAGCAATAGGCCCAAGCTCAGCCTTCAGAGATCCCTAATGAAATTGTAGCTAATCTCCAGCGCATCATGAGGTAACAGTTTCTCTAAGTCATGATCAAGTTCAGCCTCCAACATTGCACAATGACACTGTGAAACATGTGCATCACATGGTAACCATGACTCCAGAGTTCACCTAACAGGTTGAAATTTTAACCAAACACGGGGCCCCAGCTCAGTCCTCAATGTCCCCTTAGCAGTTTCAGCGTTTGAAAGACCAGCAAGAAATGATTATTCAGCAGCCAAATACCCCTGAAAATGATGAACTTCCTCCAGTCCCTCAAGAGTCCACAACTCAGTCTCCAACTCGGCTCTCCTCAGACTTTGTAAGGTCATTGAATGATGAGATGGTATTTTTGCCTCTAGATCTGTCTTTAATATTCAGAAACAATTCAACTTTCCCTAATACCACAGTTAAAAATATGGATATGGACCTCACCATACCTACAGAAGTCACTATGGAGGTTGAACCTTCCCCAGTCCAGCAGGACAATCCTATTCCCACTGAGTAGGCTGACTTTTCTCCAACCCAACATGATACCCCTTCCCCACCCCTGGATTCTCCTGAAAAGATTGAATCTCCATCACAGCACAAGGCCACAGCTCAGACCCCAGATTCCCCTAAAGGGGTGGAATTCTCCAGTCCAGCAAGAGTCCCCAGCTGAGGCACCAGAGCTCCCTAAGCAGGTTGAACCATCTGCAACCCAGCAGGAAGCCTCAAGTCATCCTCCAAAGTCCACTGCAGAGGTCAGTCCACCATAGCTGAAGATACCAGCTCAGCCATCAGCCACCTGAGAAGGTCAAACCATCTTCAGTCCTACAGCAGGCCTCAACTCAGCTTTTAGAGCCACCTGAAGAGGTACAATCCTCTCCAGTCCAGTAGGCAGTGCCTGCTCAGTCTTCAGAGCCCTATGGTGGTAGAATCTTCTTAGACACAGCAGATGGCCGCATCTTTGCCGCCAAATCTCCCTCAGGAGGTGGAACCATCTCTAACTCAGCAGGAGGGTCCAACTCAGACTTGAGAGCCCCCTATGGAGACAGAACCTTCTCCAGCTCAGCAGAAGGCCACAGTTCAGGCTCCAGAGCCTCCTAAGGAGGCAAAAACTTCAAGTCAGTAGATGGTCCCAGCTCAGCTTCCAGAGCCCCCTAAGGGAGTTGCAGTTCAACCTCTAATGCATTATGAGACGACAATTATAACAGCAAGCCAGGACCAAGCTCAGTATCCAGCATTATGAAATGACAATTCCAACAGCAGGCCAAGACCAAGCTCAGTATCCAGCATCACCCAGTGTCACATTTCAACCTTTACACATGGAGCTTACCATAACTCCAGAACCCACTATGGAGGCTGAGCATTCTATAATGCTGAGGATGACTACAGCTCCTCCAAAACACCCTGAGGTGACCCTTCCACCTTCAGACCATGTGCAGGTTCAGCACAAACCTGAGGCCACAGTGCAACCTTTGGATCTGAAATTTACCACGAATCAACAACCTACTACAGAGGGTATATTTTCTCCAACCATGGAGAATTCAACCTAACTTGCAGAGCAACCTATGGAGGTTGTAACTCAACCTGCAGCTCATTATGAGGTGACAGTTCCAGTACAAGGTCAGGATCAAGCTTGGCATTCAACACTGGCCAGTGTCACACTTCAACCTTTGGACCTGGGGCTTATCATCACTCTAGGATCCACTATAGAGGTTGAACTTTTCCAGCCATGCAGGAGACCCCAACTCAGCATCCTCAGGAAGTTATACCTTAACCTCCAGTATTTCAAGAGGTAACAATTTCAACACCAGGTCAGGATCAAGCTCAGCATTGAATATCACCCAGCATTACAGTTAAAACTCTGTACCTGGGACTTACCATAACTCCAGAACCCACTACAGAGGTTGAACATTCTACACCCCTGAAGAAGACTATAGTTCCTCCAAAGCACCCTGAGGTGACACTTCCACATCCACACCAGGTTCAGACTTGGCATTCAAACCTGACTCAAGTCACATTTCAACCTTTGGATCCGAAACTTACCTTAACTCCAGAATCCTCTATGGAGGTTGAACCTTCAACCATGCATAAAACCCCAAATCAGCCTCCAGAGCTACTTAAGGAGGTTGTAGTTTTCCCTCCTGGGTATTATAATGAGATGTCTGTTCCAACACAAGGCCAGGATCAAGCTAAGCATCCAACATCAGCCAGTGTCACAGTTCAACCTTTGGAACTGAGGCTTACCATTACTCCAGAATTCACTACAAAGGTTGAACCTTCTAGAGCCATGATGACTACAGCTTCTCTGCCAAAGCTCCCTAAGGTGACACTTCCACCATGA